CCAACCTAATCCATTCTATGATTCTGTGATTCCCTAAAGCAGGTTACAAAGTGTGTGTGTTTATCTCCAAGTCACTTTTAAAATAACGACTCTTCAGTACATGTGTCACAGAGGCGCCTGGACTTTCCAACACTGCTTTCATGCTTTCTTGCCTTTCTGTGCAATTGCTCTGCTTACGCTATCTAACAGAACCCTATGGATCTGTGATCATACGCTGCATGGTGGTCTGGATTTCACCAGAATGCAAATGTAAGGAAAAGGCATATGAGCACATATGTTTTTATGTGAAACAGAAGCTAAGCTGTGAACACAACGCGTCACCCTGCAACAAGGAGCTATGGTAGAAGCGAGTCTTGTCCACGCTAACCGACCCACTCGTCACATCTCTGCAGCCTTGCGTGCAAGCACAAGGGGCTACTGGGTGCGCTGGGATCTCTGTGTTGCAGGGACTCCTACGCACCACACTTGCAAATCGCTGTCTTCCTCCATAGCCCAGAGCAGAGCAACGTACAGCTGAGATTTGCTGCCTGCTGGATGCATGGTGAACTACTGGTAATATTGCAAAAGCCCTTCTTAGATCTTAATATAGTTAAATAGCGCTACATTAAAAGTATCTGCTTATAAAACGTTTTTAAACTGCTTCTATTTCTAAGCACCCTTGATGCTGTAGGGTGCTGTTCCTTCCCAGACCTCTCATCAGACTTCGCTAAATGTACAGTGATTTTGGCCTATTTTTAAGCATGAATTACCTAAACAGTCAGTACCTCTTGCCCGTAGGATTCAAAATCAATTTTCAGAATGGAAGTTTAAGAAGCTAAACTTTTCTGCATTTCCTTCTCTCTTCGATGAATCCACACAACAATAGGTTTTCCTAAATTCTGACAGCTTCTTCAAGCATTTGTAAAGACAGCAGCTTTATCAAAACATTTAAAAAACCAGACTATACTTAAGTATAAAAATGCCTAAGTCTTCATTTAGTTAAAATGTTTTGGTATTATCTCTATTATTTATTCTTCAAAGCAGAATAGTAATTAGAAAAGTTCTGCAAATTTGCACTAACGAAGCAGAAAAATCTACTATGAAGCACTAAATTTTATTAATTACCATATAGGCAAATAAATTAAAAATGTTAACAATATAAGTATATCTAGCCCCTTCTTTCTATGATTTTTCTAGTAGTCCATGTAAAATTACTTACAGGTTATTCCTAAGTCCTTATAACAACTTGAGCTAGGAATTGTAATTCTGCCACAAATCTATATTCCACAAACACTGAAAAGGAGAAGCCACTTAAATAGGCAGCAAAATTACACATTGAAAAAAAATCATAGAGGGAACAGGGATAATAAGAAGCAGATACAATGAGACAGTGGTACGGAAAGACAAAAATATCAAGAGAATTCACGCTGTACATTATTGTCACCACTTAGACCAAGGTGAGATTTAAGATAATCATTCAGTCCTGATGCACAGGCTCAGAAGGAATAGTCCCTCAAAATACGGAGATGTTAATGGCATAGGAGAAACAAACCCCAGCGCCACTCCTGAGGTGCCGCAGCTGGAGGAAGGGTCAGCACTACACTGGTTTTCCACAGCCTCCTCCACGCTGCAGCAGAGGATCGCTGGTCCAGCCTCAGCAGTGCTCAAGGTTGTCTTAAGGGACGAACGACCTCAGACAGTCTCTCTTTGGGTGCAGAGCTGCCCGAGTGGAGCCCTGGCAGACACACCTCTTATTCCCTGATACGGCTTCAGTGTCACAGCTGCCGAGATCAAAACGGTCAAGAGCTACAGGTGATTTTGTGCTGCTGGGGAAACCCCTGCCTCTCTACACTGCCTTCTGTCCCATGGAGTGCGACACTGTCACAGAGTGCCGCCATAAATATTTCAACTGGAGAGGAAACCACGGTTCAGAGTCTAAAAGTAATAAATCATCTGTCCAGCAAAACTGAGATGCGTTCAGTAGGGTTCAGAACCCCGCCTGCAGTCAGAAGGGTGTGAGATCTTACTGCATGCCACTGCTGTTAAATCTTAACAGGAATACGGAAGAGTGCTGAGGTCTGAGTGCGACCCACAGGACACACAGTTTAGGGGGTTTATTAACCAAAAATTCCTGAGGTCTCATTCTAACCATGAATCCACGTCAATTCCCTTTCTGGTTTTTGATCTTTATCAATTGGCATTTAAAAGGAAACACCAAGTCTGCCTTTGTTTACATCTTTCTTCCCTCCCTCATATCCAGCATCTTTCTTGCCGTCCTCAAGAAACCCCTCTAAATCCAGGGGAAGAAAGGATGCTATTAAAAATTGCCTTACTGCAGTACATGCTAGCACCATTATATGAAATAATTGCTCCTTGGGAGATTCTAGACAGTCAATTAACCCCCAATTCACGACTCAAGTGGCAGAGCAGACACTCAATGAATAAAGGGTAGGGGTTCAATTCTCAATTAGGATGAATTTTTTTCCTTAATAGTTTAATCTTGTGGTCAATTAAATCCCCTATCGTTGTATTAATTATTATATGAATTCTAGGCAGCTTCTAATTTAAAGGTTAGTTATGGTATGCTGCAACTGGACCAGAGTCCTGGACTTAAATTTTTCAAAGCTAACAGTCTATTCTACCTTAAGGGGGAAAATATTCCCTTTTGAAAAAACAAACCAAAACAAAACCAAATAAGTATCTTTTACACTGCGCTTTCCTTATCTGGGATACTTTAAATGTCAGCTGTATTTTTATGCTGGAGATAACACTGCAGTTATGTCATAGATCATTAGAACTAAGTTTGCTGCTACACCACATATTCATATCACTAGTGATATCTAAAAGGATTTCTAAGCAGACTTTTAAGGATTAATCTCTCCAATTGCCAAGCTTTTTTCCTATATCGTTGGGCATAGCGGCTTGGAATAGTAGCTTACTTTTCCATCTGTTAGACATATAGAGACTATCAGTTTGTGAAGTACTTTCTTGGTACTCTTTTTGGTAGAATAAAGTCCTGGATTTCCTCAGGGAAGTAAAGGACATATGCTGATGCTCTATGGTTTCTGAGCTGCTGCAGAGATGAATTCTTCTTGGCCAGCTTTCTGTTGAGTAGGTGCTGGACTCATATAAAACAGCAAGTCGCAGGAAAAAAAGTAAAATGGTGAGTTCCCTGGCCAAATCAGTGATCTTTTTTCAGCTAATTATTTTTCTTGCTCAAAATGAAGACAGTTTGTCTTTGAAAAGGCTGTCTATCATTAAAAAAGAAAAGTATTGAAAGTTTTTGAAACAACTACAACAGATGTCATAGCAGTTGAAAGTACAATTAGAAAGCACAACGCCACAGAAATAAAGCTTCAAACAAAAGCAGAAAAGAGTTCTTTGTGCACATCAATAATTTAGAATGATTTAAGAACTGGTTTATAGATGCAAGTGGAGCTCTTTCTGTCTATATATAAATTGAACGTGGTCTTCATAGGCAAACAAAAAGGGGATACAATCCTTTTAAATTATTTTTAGGATAATTGTTTCCGCAACAAACATCATTATTTATCAGTTTTGAAAAGAAGCCAACTGCTAACATTTGAAATGCACAAATCTTGGCACACCACATAGAAAACGGTAATCTCCCCCCTTTTTCAAAACCAGTTTTGCATTTATTTTACACATTTATCAAGTTCTTATCTCAAAGCCCATGCAGTGTTACCTATTTCTATCAGAAATCATTATACTTTATTTCTAATCACCTTCCCATAGCTAATTTGGTAACTCAGGAAAAGAAACATTTATTGCTCCCAGATGCTGCTACCTTCCTGCTCACTCCCATATTACTATAAACTGATTCAAGAGCCTGGAAAACAAGGTTTAATATGTATTATTTCACCTTCTGGATTTCTTCTGTTATAATCTTTCTTTTTAGATAGATTCATTTTAGTGATGCAAACATTCTAAATCTACACTACAGCTACTCATCAGCCAGGATGTGTCCTTATTACACGGCGCAGTGCCATATAAGACCCAAGCCAGTCTGCACGCAACAAGCGGCTTAGCAGCACCGGCAACCAGGCTCCCACCGAGCTAAACCCCATTTCTGATACCCTAATTCCTCGAGGAGAGCACCGCAGCACTGCACGGCCAGGCTGCACAACGCCGCTTCCTTTGCTAGCAGGAACGGCTTTGGGGTAGGTGGTGCCCTGTGGGCACAACCCAGGAACCCACGTCTGAAGGCTGAGCTGTGAACTGGCCAGACCACCTTCTCTTATTGTACTGACCGCAGAATTGTGAACCTATGGGTTGAATCTTTGAAAGAGACACTTCACGCTTTTTTCTTCCTTTATAGGATTTTTTTAAGAGGGAGCTGGAATAGCCCATGGAAGAGGCTGAAGAGGCTGCTCTGAACCTGACATCTCTGTTTCTGTATTTCTCCGTACCTTTATTTCCATATGTAAACTCTATTACTAAAGTAAATGATCTATTCTGCATTTGAAACTAACTGCATTGTTTTTCTCAGTTTTTTGTTCTGAGGTAAAACCTCTGTACACTAAAATGGGATTTTGATGGATAGGCAGTTTTGTGTATAGAGAGATGAGATTTTCCTTTCCAGATGAGAAGGAAGATATGAGAATAAATGAGGGTTCTTGAGGCTGTAAACTTCCTTAAGAGGACATGGGAACAGACATTTTTGTAGAGTCACAGAAGAACAGAAACCAGTTCCTCAACAGCTTCTACTTACACGTTTGAACATCATAACACAATTTCACCAAAGACAACCAGAACACAAGTGGAAGGCACCAACCCAGCTCCTTTGCTGCTTCCTACAACAGGAGACCCTATGCACTCACTGCCTTTGAGACAGTGGAACACTGGCATAAAGAAAAAATCTAGGAAAAATACAAATCTCAGACTTCGAAACTTCAGTTGTCTATCATTAAAATGTATCAACCCACCTATCTTTGTAGGTCAGCCCTCACTGCTGAAAAAAATCCCAGAAAAATTATGTCAAGTTAGCTACAACTACTATAGAATGACAATCACACTTTTCATATACTTGGGACCATTTATCTTCAGCATTTGATGTGATGGATGATATATGGGCTGCTAGTTGTGTTAAACTAAAACTCCAGCCTGATTTAGGGACATGGTCTAGTGGCGGACTTAGTAGGGCTGGATCGATGAATGGCCTTGATGAACTTCAAAGTCTTTTCCAACTGCAACCATTCTATGACTCACAGAATCACAGAATCTCAGGAGTTGGAAGAGACCTCGAAAGCTCATCCAGTCCAACCCCTGCCAGAGCAGGATCACCAGACCAGGTCACACAGGAACACAGCCAGGCGGGTTTTGAATGTCTGCAGAGAAGGAGACTCCACAACCTCTCTGGGCAGCCTGGGCCATGCTCTGGCACCCTCACACTGAAAAAGTTTTTCCTCATGTTCAGATTGAACCTCCTGTGCTCCAGCTTGGGACCATTGCCCCTTGTCCTGGCATTGGACATCACAGAGCAGAGCCTGGCTCCATCCTCCTGACACTCGCCCTTTACAAATTGATCCCCATGAATGAGGTCAGTTCTATGAGGTCACATTTTATGATTTATAATATATTTCATATATTCTATATAGGCAGTGATGTTTTACAAGACACTAATCCTAAAATAGGGTGCTACTACTTTGTATATTAGAGAGAACTATTTTTATGGATAAAACTATAACCTAGAAGTGCCCAACTTATTTTCTGCTGAGATTTCAACGTGTGTGTATAGAGAGAGATTAGTAATTGAATATTCTTGAAAAAAGAAACCCTATCTCTCAGTAACTCATTGAACAGTGGTGGTTTTTTTCTTTTCTTAAAAATCAAAGGCTTCATACAACGAAACAAAGGAACTATGTCACGTTGGAATAATAATTATTATTATTACTGTTGTTATTTTAATTTCAGAAAAATATTATGCTTTCCTTGAAATACATCAGAAAAGTCAGTGAAAATATGCTCTTTTTATAGAGTAATTTCAATCTCTCCTTCCTATCTAAATCCCTTCTGCCTGTAATGCCGCAGGCTATATGACAATAATGTCAGAAGTCAAATGGCAGCTCTGGTGACTCCTCCTTTACCATGTGAATTTCTCCACACTGTCGCCTGGAGGGCACCTTCATTACAATCACTTTCTAGATTTTCAAGCAAAAAACAAGACAACAATAACAAATATAGGCCAATCTCCTAATTGACATCATCTAAAATATCTCCAAAGGTTACAGATGTATAAATAACATGCTATTTTTTGAGCAATTAATACTGTCTGACCTCTGTGAACAGACAGAATTCACATGTACCTGTGTACACACACATATTCCATTTTCTGCTCCAGCTCAGCCATCTACTAGAGATGTTCCATCCTCCAACACATTATACATCAAAAAGAGATCCTCTAACACACCAGAAGAGGCACTCCACCGTACTGCCATTAAAAGTCTTGCAGTTATGTATTGTCTCACTGACAACACTCATGCAAATAAGACACGGGATATGTCAGCAAATCCACACAAGCCAAGTCTAGCTATCAAAATATTGCACAGCAGTCCAGGTGATGGATAAAATAGACAGATTCAAAACTATACCATGTTTTATAGATTATAACATCACAAAATACACCTGAAAGCGCAATTTTATTTATTAAACTACTTGTTATAGCCTGTCATATTCTGTCAACTGGAAGAAAAATCTGCTTTGGAAACTACTGTCACATTGACTACAAAATAAAAGAGGAAAATAAATCAGTTGGTATTTCGAGAGCAACGTGCAACAGCCAAGCCTGGCCAAAGAAGCGTGCTTGGGGAATTCTGTATTGGAATGATCACTGTCTTTCTAGCTTTGTGCCTTGAATTTCAGACTTCTCATGACTAAAAAGGTTGCAGTATAAGTGAGCCTGTGTATGGGCAATACAACCTTTTGAGAAAAGGATACATTTTTAACAGTTCTCATAAACATGATTAATCATTACACAAACGAGTAACATTTAAAAATAACTTAGGAGTCCAACTTCTACTATCAAAAGTGGCTCAGTTACTTAGAGGCTCATTTTCAAAGGTATTCATGCAAACTACAGTTATGGAAACAGGAGAAATGCCTCAAAAACTCTCAGAAGTCTGATCCTTCAAGCTAAAGCTACAAAGGCACACGGTGTCCTAATGCTGGGCACAGATGTGTCAATGAGGAATTGATGAGCTATCTAGAAAAACCAACATGCAATCTCACAACTGCCTTTAGCCCCCAAAATGTATGCCCAAGGTCCCTCTGGCAACGTGCATTCTGGCTGCAAAGCTTAAGCTGGGTCCTATTTGGAGACAGACCATGAGTCAAAGGATGACAGTGCTCCCTGGCTCATGGTCTCATAAGTCCCAAATGGAGTGGCCACTTGAAAGACAAGAGTCCTGTTTTCAGACCACCAGAATATTGGTTTGGGATTATTTAGTAAAGGAGTTTGGGGAGGGGAGAAAAGACACAAACCAGCTCAACAGTACAGCTGATAATGCAGCAGGCCAAGGGACCTAGTTAAGGAGCTTGCTCTTATGAATATTTAATCACTCAGATGTAGTGGAACATCGTTAACTGGAGACAGCGTGACAGATGCAATGCAGAGACACAGCAGCCTGAAAGAGGCTTCACTTCAGAGAGGAGATTCAACCTCCTGCTACCAATTGAGGAGTTTTAAGTTTACTCCCCACAGAGGTACCCCAATGACGGGGGTATCCCAAACACAGGAAGGCACAGGTGTCTCTACTCCCATCTTTCTATCAAATCCTAAGTACCTGCTACAGGAAGAATATCCACAGCTGGAAATCTTCAGCAAATGTAAGCACTCGCTTCCCATCAGGTAGCAGGCACTGGCCTCTCAAGAGTGACCCAGGCAGCCCTTTTTGCTGGCACTTCCCAGCTTGCTGAGATAGGTACTGATAAAACATTACTGTGAGAATGATTATGTCCTCCTTGTTATTCTCATTATTTCATAATTTACTGAGTTGTATGATGACTGTATAATGCCAATCCCACAATCAGCCATTTAAGGTTTGTTTATCCTTTTGGCAAATAAATTGCTCCTATGATTGAGGTAAGTTGAGAGGAAAAGCAGGAAGACATTTTAGAAACATAACACCTTCATTATTTTGCACATTCCCTCTATCCCGCAATAATTTATGAGAATATACAGAATAATAACATGAATGTATAAAAGAAAACCTTGAATACAGTCAAGAACCAAAAAAAAAAAAGAAAAAAATAAAGTTTCCAGACATATTTCCATGTGTGTGTGATTGTCTGTGTGGGGACAGTAAAGTTTTGGGTAACGTGCACAATACACATTTCATTTACTTGCAGATTCTTACGCTATCTCACCCATGCATCAGCTTGCTACTTTATTAAAAAGAATCATTAAAAGAACATCACAACATTAATACTGGACTTATTCAAAGGTGCAGGGAGTTTCATGGAAAGAATTCAAAACGGGCCACTTTTCTTCAAAAATAAAGTGCTTGTTTTAAAATAGTTGAAATTATATTGCTTGCTTACTATTGTGGCCCCCCACTCTTTCAGGTGCGATGCTTAACTTCCAAAGTACAACCGATAATATGGAAAAGCTACAAACACAACTGTGCACACCCAGAAATAAATACGGCTATGATAAACAAACACCTAGCACAGCACATAGTACTGTGGTGGTGCCCTCTGCCCCAACAATCAAACATGAAATCTGATTTCCTCGAAATTACAACCTGAGCTGGCTGTGGTCCGGACCTCTGTGTGATCTGCAGCCCCAGTGGCTTCCGAGTTCAGTATATGTGTGTGTCAGCTCTGCTAACAAGAGATCATGTAACTTTATCGATGTAATTCCATGCAATGCCTTGAAACACAATGAAGAACACACTTACTCTGATTTCATGACTACCTATCTATTTCAAGAGCATAATCTTTTCCCACTTCCAGTCTGAGGTTAGTTCACTACCTCGTATGTCCACTAAGGATTTATTACTTACTATTTTCAGGAATATTTGTTCGAATGCAGCGCGTACACAAACACTTTGGAGATGCACATAAACGTATGGTTTTATTCTCAGCCTTGCTGTCACCAGAAACCTCTGAGCAGCAAGTCCTCCTCAACAAGGAAGAGAGAGCTTTTAACATGCCCTCTTAATGTGACTTGTACACAGAAGGCAGACACACTCCACAGATCTTAAGATATTCAAAAAAAGTCCTGAATACATAAAAATGCTACACAAAATATCATCCACCTGTGCTA